GCTGCTCTAGACTGTTTTAGCCAGATTGGAGGTATGTGTGTGAAAAAGGAGAAGAAGCAGATTCTAAAGCCTCAGGCTTAAGGAGCTTGAGGAACAGTGCTGCCATACTGCTTGATCAAAAGGTTTTTAGCTGATGAGATGAATCAGTTTTCAAGGTGCTCCTGATTCATTTAACAACACATTTAAAACCCAAGTGTTATTAGCTATTTTAATACTTATATTTCAACTTCCAGTTGTCTAATACCATTTCAGAAGAGGATTTTGATCAAACAGAAGGTGTATTATTGTACCTACTGATTCAGTTCTGAGGGGGAACCTGGATTTCCCACTAGCGTATAGGAATTGAGCCATAGTGAGACCTGGGGTTTCTCATTTCCTTTTACTTTATCTTCCTCTCCAGAAAAGATGATTAGGAGCATCCAGCGTGTAGGTCTATTATGTATACACCTTCCTTTATGCTATTTAAGCTCTCATTAGAGCAAACGAGATATTAAAGTGACCTGCCCTTTAGAATACCTCTAAAGCTAGATGCACTGGCTGAATGCTAGTGGGAAGTGAATGGAGGAAACAGTTTGTTTAAATTATTGTAAGTGAAAAAGGTCAGAATTCAATTGAAATAAACATTAATTCCCTGAATTCCAGAATCATGGTTTGTTTAAAAGAGGCAGTAAAGCTTTTTAATCTCCTCTACTGAGGCACAAATGAGGATGACAAGGCAGGAGGGCATCTGAGCCTATGGTCTGTCCTAGTTTATCACAAAACAGAAAACTATGATTTCCTGTTACATCTGGGCCACAGCAACATGTGGTGAAAGGAAAACACCAGCCTCCTTGTGAGTATGCCACACAACATCTAAAAACATAGGAAGGAGGGTTTTTTTTCAGAACTTGTACATCGTACATATGAAAGTTAATTCAAATTTAATCAGTTGCCAAAGTTTATACAATTAATAGTCTAAAATATCTTTGGTCAGGTAACAGTTCTATTTCAGACCATCGTGTGAGGAAAGCAAGGTTCTAGTAGTCTGTCCAAAATTATAGCTTCATTAGTTAAATTCTGCCCCTGGGGTAGTACTACAATCAGTCTGTAAGCATCCTGGAGAAAATGGGTTGATTACTAACATTTATCACAAAACTGTGTTGTGGAATACCAATTCTGTGTCCAGTGAATAGAGGAGGCCAACAAGTAAAGGGAAGCTTATTCAGAAGTGTTTGTTGGATCTGACCTGCAGGAACAAATACCAGCACTGGGATGATTACAGGACTTACAAAAATCCATAGCACAATAGGTACATTTCTTGCAGGTTTAATGCATGTTTTTGCCTTATGTGGTTAAACTTTGCATTTTTTGCACAAAGGCACTTCATTCCCTATTTGTTCTTTAAAGCACCGACTGGTCACTTCCCTATCTTAGAATATCCTCATACATCTACGATTTTATTACCCTGGTTTCTTGTATGTGACCTGTCTGGTTACAGATAATGAAGAAGGGCCTTTATGTCTCCCTACAACTGTTCTGTTCACGAATTCATCGTGTTAAACCAGCACTGTCCAATTTTGGAATAATGGAGTGTATACGGTACTGACGTTACCAGTGGTTTTTAGCTCAATTATATGTGGTATTTTGCACAGGTAAATATAAGAAACTCAAGTTTTATGATTGGCATGCAGTCTGTTGAAAATTCAATCTCAAATAAACACCACTGTTTTAGCCATTGGCAAAATATAACAAGTAGTGTTCCATGGCAGACTTTCTTACAGTTTGTAATATTACTTACTTATTGACTGATCTGTTCATTCATTGATATTCTGCCATTCCCATAGAGAACTAAGGCAGCATACAAGTGTCTATCCTCTGGCAATTTACCCTTGCAACAACCCTCTACTGTTGATTAGAATGGGAGATATTGAATATGGCCCAGAATTAGGCATAGGTAGTAAAAATCCAGATGACCACTAAAAGGTAGCAATGAGAATTTTCTTCACTTCTTTGCTACTATCTAGTGGAATTCTGGATTTTTGCAGCCCATATCTGGTAGGTAATCCTAATGACCAAAACCACCCAATGAGCTTTGTAGCAGAGTAGGGAATTGAGTCTTATCTCCCCAGTCATACATTATGTTCTAATTTAGGAATAGGCGACATGTGGCACTCCAGATGCTAGCAAATGCAGTGCCTTCTCTTTGAAACTCAGCCAGAAAATGTACCTCTAGTACAGCTGCTAAACACTATGCTACAGACTCAGTTGCTGCTTAAGGATGCTTCTAACAGGTTAGAGGAAGGAGTAGGCACAGTGCTGATCAGATCTGAAGTTTATACAAAAGATATACTGTAAGGGTATAGGATGAAAATACAAGTTGACTTTGGTCAGTTGCAGCATTACCTACATGTGAGGGTCTGTATTTAAAAAAAAAATAAAGTACTTATATTTCTAACAGTATTTATTTGAAGGGTGGATGGATGGTGGGGGGCGGGGAATAGCTGACGACATAAATACATAATAGATGTGATAGTAATAGGAACAAGTAGGGTATAATATCGGTGAGAAACTGTCAAGAGATATATGAATCATGGGATATAAGAAGGTCAATTCTTATGACTGTCTTAAGCCATTAAAGCAATACTTGATCATATTCATTTTCATTTGTGCATCTGTAGATGCCAGAAAATTTATATTTGGAATGTTCTCAGGGTGTTGTTACTCTACAATCACTGTTTCTGCACATAATAATGGGTATGGCAGCTTCTGGTGAGCATCAGCATCAGCTGTCACAGCAAGGATGATTTCATAAAGTCAGCCATCTTTGAAAGGAGAAGAAATGCCCCTTTTTAAAAAGTGCTGGCAACATGTTTTAGCCAGTATGTACAGTGCCCTTGACAAAGAATCTTATCTGAAACACATCAGTCTTTTAGACCATAAAATATTTTCTCTGGCACTTTGGATTTTTTTCTTCCCCCTTTTCCCCTCTGTCTATAGTGCTATAAGCAAAACACAGGATGCAATAAATCTACCTTATCTGACACAGACATTCTGCAGAGTCCTGTTGCAATCTGTCATGCAGAAACAAAGAACAGACTCATTGCTCTGCATTCTTCATGTAAAAACACATACAGGGCTATGTGGTGAACACCGGACGAACTCTCTACAGATTGAGAGATCCAATCTGTAGATGCATTGCATGCCAGGTGTCAATTACTATTTTGCTCAATCAAAAATTTGGTTATATAAGTCCGTGTTGAATGAGGTAACCTTTTATGGGCCATTTATATTAGTCTCCCTGCTATTATTCATCCTTGTTCATACATTGCAGATTGCTCCATTGTTTGCTCTCAAAATTGATCTGTGAACTAAGCTCTATGTCACTTGAATTATTATTTCTGCTTTGTGCTTTCAGAATGACATTCCATACTGCTATGTGGCTCCTAACATTCTGATTGCTGTCTTTATTTTCCTTTTTAGACACATCCCATCTCAGGTCAGGAGGCTAATAGATTTGATGAAGACTGATCCTGTGAGTTTCTGCTGATATGAACTTTTCTTTTCAGCAGGCTATTGTGACTTTTTATTGTCCACAAAAAGGGGGAAGATGGGGTTCTGCCCTTTTGCCTCTCATTAGTGGTTGCTATCTTTAATTGCTTCACTGAGAAAAGAAATAGATTTGATCCTCTTTAACAATTTAAGGTTGTCTTGGTAGCAGCATCTTGCCAACTTTGGCTGATCTCAAAAAGCTAATCAGAGTTGGATTTGAATGGCAGACACCAGGAAATCTCAGGGCCGTAAACTGGACTACAAAGTAAAAAAACTGTCTTGGAAAAAGGCAACGGCAAACCACTGCCATATTGTTACCAAATAAACTATATGATGTGTCCATGAAGTCATCAGGAGCTAAGCTTGATTTGAAAGAGACTTTAATAGATTTAAATTTGTTTAATTGACTATTGGCATTCCTGATTAATCAGGCAACATATTTTTGCAAATTAATTATTTGCATATAAGCAGTTAGCAAAACTACAGGAGGCAAGTAGATGCCATCTCACAAGAAGCACCCCACTTTCACTCTTGCCCAAAAGAAAATGTCCCTTCTACCACCTAGAAACAAAGTATACTTTTCTTTTTAATTTAACTTTTTAAAAAAACACTCTGATTTTATCTGTGTCCAAATTTATGCAAAACTAATTTGTTTAATTAAGGTTCATTGAATTGGAGGCACTTGCTACTCCTCCTGGCCGCTTGCCTTGGATTGCAGCAATCCTACTACAGTTTCTAATTAGATTTGAAAACATATATGAAGTATGTTGTGAATCTTAAGAGTCTCCACTCCCCTTAGTAGCTTTGCCCCCTCTGATCACTGAACAGGCAGTACTGAAAAGTGAGCCCAAGACTTTGCATTTGCAAAATCTATTACTAAGCTTCAGAACTTCAGTGTTGGTGAAGTACATTGGGTACTAATTACCATCAAGTGAATTCAACATACTTCTTAAGACTGGAGATGTAGAGCTGATTTCATAATGAAATTGTATCCTAAACAACCAGGCATGGGGACAACATTCTTATAGTAGCACTGTTTTGCAGCAATTGGATTTGAAATAGGCCTCTGCAAAAGAAATCTGTGATTTCTCGTTTTACATAGCTGAATAGTACATTAAGACCACATTTAAGATTGCTACCCTGGTTTCCAACTATCTGCTGGTCTAAAAGAACAAGCTGGCTGTCCCCCTAAAAATAATTTTATTAACCCTTTCTAAGATGTTGGTTCAAGTATTTTTCTTTGCTTTCCTTTATGTCTATTCTCTTCCTTCTCCTCCTAATGCAGAAAATAAATTTCCAAGAAGACTGGAAGCTCATAACCCTTTTCATAGGAGGAAACGACTTATGTGGTCATTGTGACGATCCTGTAAGTTTCCACATATTTTACAGTTATTCCTAATATAATAGATTCTTTTTCCCCATTTTCTCCTCCCCTATTTTTTTTTTTTTTGTGTGCACCTAAACGCTTATCTATAGAAATGCAAGTAGGAATTGTCCAAGTGCCCTGTGATATATGTAAGAATATGATATGCACAGGATTTGTCCTTCACATGACTTCATTTAATATTAGAAATGTTCCATGTAATGTCATACCTGCTGAATAACATTCAGATTGACAATAGGACATAGTAAGATGTACATTCATTTTGCAGGAAACTATCACAAACATGGCAAAAAATCAGAAAGACTCTGGTACTATTTTTCCAACTTTTATTAAAAGACATAAGCTTTTGTGAGCTACCATAGACTAACTTGGCTCTACTATAACATTACAAACATGCAAACTCTCTGCCCTAATAAGAAATCGAGTTGTAGACCTTGTGCTTCCACTCTGCTGATAATTATCAAGATTTACATTGGGACTGGTTCAAAACTAGCTACTGACCCTTTTCTGAGACCCTTTGTAGCTGGTTCAATGAAAACAGTAGCTTGAGATGGCAGCCCTTCTTCTCTGCCACTACATGCATTTTAAAGAGGGTGATAGTGGTTCATTGCTGAGTCAGTATTCTAAGGAAAAGCAAGTATATGTTCATGTCTTTATGCAGGGCCTTGAGGTCATTCAACTGAAGGTGATGTTTCGTGTAATTTAATATTTTTTGAGAACTTCCACTGATTACTATATCAGTGCTACTTCATTTTACAGATAATTTTCTGTTGATAAAGACAGATGCTTACACAGCTGATAATAAACAGGCAAGATCTGTACCTTTCTTACGCAATGAAAGTTTAGATCCTCAGCAGATCTGCCATTTGTGTATCTTGTGGCAATCTTTTGGATCAAAGCACTGATATTACCATCCCTTTTTAGCTAATCAAGTTAAAAAGGTAGTGAAGTGTTATTTATGGATGCCCTCAAGTGATAAAACTTTCTTTTATCAAAGTACTGAAGAATGTCATTAAATATGTATTTCTGGGTTAGGTTTCACGGGGTTGAGTTATATTTTTGGAATAGTTGGGTAGTACTTAAATGCTACTTTTAATTATTATTTTTAGCAGGTTTGTCGCTCCTACGTGAAAGAGTTTTTATGCTTATTTAGGCCTCCTGATTTCTCCAACCTTTCAGTCTCCCTTGGGTAGCTGGATTAGCTCTGTTTTGCCCATGTTCCATTGCACATGCAGAGTACAGCAAAACTGGCATATGGAACTCAGCGTGGATATGGAACTACAGAGCTTGTCTACATGAGGTTTTTGCTCAGCTTCTATATTTTGAGTATTGCTATGCATTAGTATCAGGATGAATTAAACTGATAAGAACAAGTATTATACAGTACTTGCTTTTAATGAAAAAGCCAAGAAGGATGAAGTGAATAATCTAATAGCAATCAACAGTGATTAGGTTTTAAATATGCATCCTAAATGTTTCAGTGCATCATATTTTGTTCTGGTATCCTAGAAGCTCCATCCAAACTATCCCTTACCTGGTTTTCTTGCAGAGTAAATTTGGGTAGTTCTCATAAGGTCAAGGTCATGCTTTGAAAACACTGTTTGTGCCCCTGGCATAAATGATATGGGAAGGGGTCTGTTTTTGGGGCTGGCTGGTGTACTTTTCCCCTCCCTTCTCCTTCTGGACTTGTTGTGGCTGAAAATGGCTTTCCCCTTTGCTGAAATGGTGTCAAAAGCTAGTCAGACAGGCAGGTGATGGTGAAGGGGGTAGAAGCCTTTTCAGCTCTTTCCCTCACAGCTTGTTTTTTACCCTCTGTGAGGGAGGGGGACAGATGAGAGGCAGGTAATGCTGGGCAGGAAATGGTAAAGTAGATGTGGCATGGTTGCCATATCTGAACTGCAAAAATGTGGGTGACCACTAGATGACAGCAAAGAGATATGGAAGCTCTGATTTCTGCCATCTAATGGTCATCCAGATTTTCATAGTCCAGATATGGCAGCCATAGGGCTGGGAAGAAAGAGATGGCTGGATGGAAGGACAATAGAAAGCACAGAGAAGCCTAAGTGAGGGAGAGATGTGAATTTTTGTGAAACTCGCAGCTTAGCTTACAGCTGTACCAGCTTTCCATTTTTTCTCTCCTCTCTTTCTCTTCCATGTCCACTGCTGCCAGCCTGAGAGATCAGAAAAGAACTGCGATATCATGGAGCCCTTTCTACTGTTTCTAGGCAGAAAAGCTCATGGAACACAAGAGACTATCTAGACAAAGTGGGCAGGGATTCTCTATTTTCAAAATAGTAATTTTTGATGTATTGTCGAAGGCTTTCACGGCCAGCATACAAAGGCTGGTGTGGGTCTTCTGGGCTATGTGGCCGTGTTCTGGAAACGTTCTTCCAGAACACGGCCACGCAGCCCGGAAGACCCACACCAGCCTTAGTAATTTTTGAGTTACTATTTAGAATATTCCATTTCTCTCCAGACCATGTTATTCTTCAGACCATTCTATTCTGGGGGTGTGGTTTAATGGTTTCCTGAAGTAAATCCTCTGAACTGGAAGTGATTTGAGGTGTTCCAGGGATGTTCCAGTTGCAGAACACGTTTCATCTGGAACATTATGTTCAGGACACTTTGAACTGCTTGCATTCTCTACCATGGTCCATACCCAGATTGATGCTGTTCACAACTTTTGACCCAATTAGTGTGACTCTATGCTTCAAAACAACTGGATTATGTCACGCATATCATGGGAAGAGGGCCATTATGTCATTTGTAGAAGGTGCACATTAATATAAATTACAGCTTTCAATTGCCAAATGTGTGTAGCGATGTGATTAGGAAGAGTTATGAACAGGTTATTATGCACAAAATTTACTGCTATCCTTTTCTTTCATAGGTACGTTATTCTCCTGAGAATTTCATAAGGAATATACAGTCAGCTTTGGATATACTCCATAAAGAGGTATCAAAGGAGACTCTGCTATCCTGGCTAAAGAGAAAAGAGTAATAATGGGGTGAATGATTAGAAGATCGATAGGTTTCCTTAGGACAATGGTTTCCAGCCTGTGGTCTGCAAGGGTTGCCTGCAAGGGTACTGCAGGGGAGTTGTGCTGTAACTGCAAAAATAATTTTAAAAAATTAAAGGGGCCCAGATCTCATAAGGTCACCAAATTTTGCAAAATAATGCCCTCACTCAAAATCTGGTGAAATTGTAGCATTCTTTATTTCCATAATTTATTTATTTATACACACACACACAATTCATTTTTATTTAATTTGGGATTCCATTTGCATTACTGACCCCTATTTCTGAAATGCTTCTCAAAAGCTTTTGAGGACTGTCACCATTATAAGTGATTTTATAAACCGAAATTGACATATCTGAAGACAGTCATGTAAATGTAGCAGCAGAGCTAATTAAAATTGCCAGGAAGGTAAACATGTTTTCTATGGAGTCAACATTATGAATAGGTGGCAGGTGAGTGAACAACTTTGGAGAGAGCATTTCAAAGCATAACTGAAAAGGCTGTTTCACAAAAACCTACCCATCATAACTTAAATGGTGGACTTCCCCAAGAAGGACTTCTGCTTAAGAATTTGGTGTATTATGAGGGAAGGCAAGTCTCCAGGCACAGAGATCCTAAGCCATGAGTTCTAAAAGTCAAACAGTACTTTGGATTGGATCTGGGTTTTCTGATTTTGATGTGCAGTCCCAAATGCAGTCCTGGGCTCTGTGGCTGTCAAATGCTTGTCAGTGTACCCTTGCCTCTCAATCTTTATTTACACTCATGGATAGGCATGACTTAAATTAGCACTCATGGGCCTGCATGAGTACCAACCTAAATAATTCACTTCAGAGAACTTTCCTTAAAAGTCTTAATAAAACCAGCCAGGGAGGGAACAATTATGTTTGTAACTCACTGCTTTCCAAAGGACCTTTCTCTTAAAACTACTGATAATCAACTTTGTCCACGGAAATGGGACAATGCTGTGCCTCGAGCCTCTTTGCATTATGCAGATTGGGTCATCTGACAATTCTGTGTGTTACATTTATAACAGAACCACATACCTTGTGAACTTCTACTACCCATTCTGTTTTACATATACCTCTTTGTAGGTCCCTCGAACATTTGTGAACCTGGCAACAATCCTTCTTGTGGCACCTCTGAGGAAACTGTATCAGGAGAAGCGCGTTTACTGCCCAAGACTGATAATGAGGTTTGAAATGAATAGAGATTGTGCTGGAACTGGGAAAAATCTCCAATATCTGTGCTAATTGTGGCTCCTCTTAAACTTACGCAATTGCTTTTTACTAATTCTGATTGCCGCAGTATGGAAACATAAACCTATTATACATTATTTATTGAAAAGTATAGAAATAGTCTTGGAGGATCATAGATTACAGCTCTGCAAACTTTTTGTTACCAAATCTGCTCCACAGAAGATACAAAGGTTTGCAGTGGAGGAGGAATAGGCAAAAAATTGCATTTCCCAATTTTTTTTTTTCTGCTGGCAGGAATATTCTGAACACTCTACTGCAAGGCTTCTGCTCATAGAAAAAACAATGGATCAAACCCAAGAAGCATAGTATATTACAGCACAACAAGTCTCAATGAAATCATGTGTGATACTTAAACAATTCAATCAGAGCAGCCAAAGTTCTTTGAGCATAAAATGGTTTTCACAGCATGCATAACATGGATAGTAAGTAAACTGGGCCCCAAATGAAGAAGACCCAGTCCTGCATCAGCTTATTACACTCTTGCTGTGGCCAGAACATGAAATAGGGCCTCCAGTATTTGTCTTTACATTTCAGCAGGTTCATATGAAAGAATCCCAGAACAGTGATTACATAGTTCTAGGACATGAAAAGAGATTGTTTTCTCTATTGTTCTGGTTTGGGGGAACATGCTAGACTTGAAATATTCTTTGCTGTCACAAAAGATTATGGAAGCACAATGCATTACCTAATTCCTATTTTTGTGGAACTGTATGCCTCTTAGAAAAGGAAAATCTTGTGTTGATAGCAGAATGTAAGAAAGTAAGAAGAATCTTGCTGAATCAGTCCAAAAGCCTATGTATGTTAGCAATCTGTTCCTACGATATTTAACCAGATTTATTTATTCCTAGTAACATTTATATCTTGACCTTCTTTTGCTAATGCATCACTCAGTTTGGCTAGAAAGCATGAATAAAGTATTAAATTAAACTGATTAGAATTTTAAAAAACTCTAATAAAATCTAATAGAAGCCTGCAGACAACATATTCAAGTAAAATTTATTCTGTCCGCCAAATGAAAGCCTTCTAAATGAGGAAGGTTTTAACCAATTGGCTTTTATTCCTCTCCATCCCATGTTAACTATAGCATCTGACTGAACTTGTTATGAAACAATTGTACTTAGGAGAACGTCTGATATGTTTACTCTTATGCATAAAGTAAAGGGGGTACAGAGTAATTGAAAACTGTCTTCAGAAGTTTCCATTTTTTTTAAATGCCTGAGGGAAGGGTTGAGGATTACACAGTCAACTACCATGTGCCATTTTTTCCCCTCTAGAGCATTGTGTCCATGCGTTTTGAAACCTAAAGATAATTCCTCTGAAATTGAAATGCTAGAGTCCTTTAATAAAAAGTATCAGGTAAGAAAAATGCATTGTAAATAATATATAGCAGTATTTTATACCTCATCCTTTTAAAAACCAAGTGTGAGCAGAATTAGATATTTTCTGCAATGTTAGTAATTCTGCTTTGGGAGGAGTTTTTAACAATGGAAAGCAAGTTAATTAAAAATAATAGGTAATGACTTAAAATGTCAACATTACATTTGGTCTTTTTCACACCCTCATTTAAAAGCTTCTTTGCAGTCCTGGGCCAACTTTAGGAGGTAAGTTATTTACTCAAATTAGACATGTTCTAACATCCCACCCTATTACTATGATGGCAAAGTGGCTATGTTGCAGCATTCATATACTAAACTTAAACACTACAAGCCATTTAAAATTAGCCTTGACTCAATCACTTTTAAAGTACTGGGGCTTGGATAATACTCACCTAACCTAATTTTTGTCAGTGAACCACACAGCCCAGTCCTGTGCACATTTACTTAAAAGTTCAATAAGCTTTGCCAGTAAATGGAAATTCCTCATAATAATTCCATTAAGTGCAATGGGTTGAAAGCTGCAGTTATACCCACACTTACATGGAAATAGGTTCCATCAAACTTGTTTAAAAAATACTTTAATTGATGACCAATAAAATACTAGCTCTGCTGAGCAAAATAAGACTATGGTATTTGTTTTTCTGGCTAAAATTATCTTAACCTGTTCTAAATTCCTTTAAAGCCTGTAAGCCCATATCTCCATTTTGGGGGTACAATATGTATTTAAACAAAAAATAATAGAACAATTCCTCCAATATTAGATAGAACAAGTAGACTTGAAAAAGCAGAGGAGCTGCTGTGTGCTCAATTAAATATCAGATGCCTGGTTAGAAGCAAAGCCCAATGACAGTCAACAGAGAAGAGTTAACTGCAGTGGAGGCAAAACTGGAGTGGAATGGTCAAATATTGTCTTGAAGGTACAGATTCTTTGCATTTTCAGCCACAATCATGCCTCTAGTGATCATGGCTAACACTCTTAGTCTTAAAGGATATGATCTGAAAGCCAGTCAAAGAAGAGTGTTGGTCTACATGGACAAGTAGACTCAAAGCTGCTCTGAAAAATTGGCAGCTTTCCCCATGTGAACCAAAGAAGCAGTCAAACATTATTCCTTGTTGTATTTGGTATGTTATCTTTGTGGTATCTGCCTCCCATTTCATTGTTTAGCAGCTCTAAAAGGAGCAATATTTTGGGTTTTGTTTTGCCAGGAGGGAACTCATCGCTTGGTTGAGAGTGGGAGGTATGATACAAGAGAAGATTTCACTGTGGTTGTGCAGCCACTGTTGGAAGAATCAGACATGCCTATGACTCTGGTAATTTCAGATGTATACATGTGCTACATTTTTGCTCATGTCATTGCTAAGAAAACTCATATATTTGCTTTAAAAGTTTTGATTGCTATCCATATTCCTAACATCAGTCATTCATTTCAAGCAGTAATAAGGTACCAGAAAATATTTTTGAGAACTGTATATCATAGATGGGGCCTAGCTAACTTAAAGACCATTGATTTCAATGGTTTCTTTTACATCTGACTGTGTCTGAACCTAACTCATAGTGTGGTGAGATTGGGAATCACTTGGGCAGGAGAAGGAAAGCAAAGCCATGATAGTTCCAAGCAACTGTGACCTAGTGGTCAGCAGGCCAAGTTTCCAAGCATAACCTTGATTAAGTAAACCTCAGGTAGAAGACCCAAAATTCAGTAATGGTCATATAAAATTACTTACCTTGATTTCTCCCTTTAATGTGAAATGGTTAAATTCTCATGGGTCAAATTGTACATGAAAAGTAAGAGACTATTTTTGAGTAATGAATGAACAGACAGAAAGTAATTCTAATAGAGAGAGCACATTGGATGCTTGAGAATGAGGTCCCCACATTATTAGCAACATCAAGGAAAGACTGTTTGGGCCAATCCAGCAGTTCTTCTGACTTGAATTGTAAATTCAAGAATTTAGGTTTTCAGGTTTAGGAATTCAGGTTCAAGAAAACCTGAGGAGGACAATTATAGCCCTTGTACAAATGGTAAGTACAAATTATAAGCATTCAACCATCTCCTTTTAAAGCAAGAGTGCGACTTCTGACAAGACAAAAACTGCAGCCCAGCATCCTGACCTTCTGGCAGGCTGCAGGAGGCTGTCTGGTGATGCTTTGATATTCATGAGAAGGAGCTTGGCCAAAATATTTTGGCCTCTTTTGGGGCAGTTAAGGGTGGGAGTAGAACCAGAAGCCAACTGGAAAGCAAGCGACAGTATTTTGGTTTTCACCTTTCCCACCATTAATCCTCCCTCCCCACAACCCCCCCCCCCAAACTGACCTGAAATGGTGCCATTGCATTTGTCTGTTTTGACACTGAATTCTGGCAACATGGTCTCAAGATAATAGAGGGCTGTGTCCACGCCTGTTTTAAAGCATATAAAAGAAAATCTGGGGAGCTTTGCTTTTCTGAAATATTTTTATCACTTAGTTATCTGAGCATTACAATATTATACTGGATTTGTCCAGTTGTCCTTGCTTCTATTCTTGGGCAGGAGCTGTTGAGGATTTTCACAATAGCAATTTATAGCACCATCCAGCTATTGTTATGCAATAAAACACTAAAGCAGGCAGGCTTCACATCGCTTGGTTATGGCTGTGGGATATTACTGTTGTTTGGAAGATATATTTCCATAATCAATTCAACGCATAAGGAATGCTGTTTTCTAGTTCATATGAAAGCCATTGTGTGACCACAAAGAGTCCAGGCTGAAGATAATCATGCTGTATCCATGGAGACTAGTTTTTCAATAACATCTACTTATGTGTAGAATTTGACATGGAGATGTATTGCCTGAAGATACATCCTTTATCCTATAAATTTCTAGGATGGAAATGCTCCTAGAGCAGGTGAAGAAGGCAGTGGACAATATCTGCGGTTTGTGATTACCAGACTTTGAAGAGTTCTTTGGAAATGTTCAAATACAATTTATTCCTCATCGAAGTAAATTTGTCTTCCCTATTTTCATCTTAAGCCAAAGGAGACTTTACAAGAAATATGCTTTTCATTAAAATGCATAAACTATCCACTTAAAAAAAGTTAAAGATTTTCTTTAAAAAATAGTTGTGGGATATGTACTGGGGCACTCTGCCAGCTTTCTCTCAAAGGTCACTATTCTGCTTCCCACCTCTTCAAAATAAAACTAGACAGATTAAGCATAATTTTTTAAAACATATTTCTTGGAAGATATAGATTTGATTTCAATTTGCAATACTGTATGTAAATAGTTTTTTAGGATGTAGCGGTTAAGATGTTGGACCTGACCATGGAGATTCTGATTCAAATCCATCCTCAGCTATGGAAGATAATTAAGTGACTTTTGGTAAGTCACACTCTGTCAGTCCAATCTCCTTCACATAGTAGTTGTAGAGATAAAAGTGGAAAAAGGAGCACAATGTAATATATCACCTTCAGTTTCAAGAAGAAAGTTGGGATATAAATCTAACAGCCAAGAAATTATTTGAGGGGGATAATGCAGTATCTTCATGCACCTGTTGCCTCAACAGTATTCATGACTGTTGTGATGGACAGTCATTAAGCTTGTTGTGTACAGTATACATTTAGGCTTTATAATGTATATACAGACTGAATATCTTGAATTGGATAGTCATTGGTTTCCATGTTTACAGTTTTTTTGTCCCTCAGGTGAAGTGGGCTCTAATTCTTGAAAATATATTCAGCAACAACTCTTTGCTTTTTAACACCCTGGAACAAATCAGCAGAGTTGCCCTTATGGGAATAATTGTATCTGATTCTTCCTTTAGGATGGGCTGCCAGATTCTTCATATTTTGCCCCAGACTGTTTCCACTTTCACCAGAAGGGTCACTCCCAGGTTGCTCGGGGGCTGTGGAACAACATGGTAAGAGGCCATTAGATTATTTTCTCTTAGTTCCATTCTTAAATCCCCTGCATCTTTTATTTTTCTTCTCCTGTCTCATACCCTACATCTTTTCTTATTATTATTCGGTACAGTTGGAACCCCTTGCAGAAAAGACAAAGGTACAAAAGCTTGAAGCTGGGATAACACTCAAATGTCCAAACCAGGTAAAATGAATTTTCTTAGGACTCTATAGTACAATGTAATTTCTACTTTTTTTTCCCCATCCTTGCTCTGCAAGTGAGACAAATACTGTCACCATCCTGTTTCTTTTCTAAAAACTATGTAAATCCTACAAAATAGAAAGAAAACCTCTGTCACTTACGATCACTTAGATAGAGGAAAGGAACAATTTTGGTGAAAGTGTTGCTTGTTAGCCACTTGTGAATCCCAAAGCTAAAAGTTGCCCTTAGATGCAGTGTAAATTTCAACAAGAGTTAAGGAAGGATTCAATGGCAAAATTATCTGGGGTAGCCTTGATTGGATGCTGACACTAATGTATGTAGTAGAATTGAGAACTGTGAGCAACCTAACCTCAGTGAGGAACATCTATGAATAAAATGAGACACCAAAAAAATATATGTGCCTGGAATGTGAGAGATGACTTGAGGGAAAATGTTGACATGAATCCATCTGAATTCACGGAATTCCTCACTCGCTCCAAGGACCTTACACATCACTAGCTTCTACATTGTAATGTCTGAACTCCTGGAAGGCAACATGAATAAGAAGATGTTCTCATGCTGATCTGCTTTACATGTTGCATCCACATTGACTGCCTAAAATTTGTGGCTTTCTACATTGGCTCTTGGAGAATGTGTTGGCCTAGAGACTCATTATGATTTCTAGATGGAAGCACCACCCAGGGTTCTTGGGTTTAATTAAACAAGATATCAGGAGTTGCATGATGTGTTCTCCTGATGGATTTTTTTTTTAAGGTAACAGAAGTTTCTGTTAGGGGACTAATCAAATCAGGACTGTGATTCTGAAGGACAAGTAACTTTATTCCTATGCTTTTCCCCCCAGTCTGAATCCCACACTTAAGCAGGTATTCATCCCACAAAGTACCTGCATATTTTCTTCTTAAGATCAACAGTAATTGAGATGGTGGGGGTAGATGTGAGAGAGATTTCAATTAAAAGAACAATATGAGGGGAGTTAAATTCTTCTCCCTGAACAACATTGTCTGCTTTTATCCTGCTAAAACTACCGAGATCTCATAATCTCCTGCTATCTCATCCAGCTGGTCCCTAATCAGACCGACAGAGGTACAGATGACTGTCTTGCTTACATGTAAGACAAACGTGCCTCTGGAGGGCGCTTTGGGACCATTTTTTTTTATTTTGACTTGGCTATCTATCCCTGTTCTGTAGGCCCAGCCATATTTAATGACATACAGAAACAGCAACTATACTTACACTAAGGGAAATACCCCTGTTTATGGAAGCCAGATGCTGTGCAAGGATAGAGCACCATCCATCAAATATCCTACTTCAGGTAACCTTAGCTCTTGAGACCAAAATCACTAAGGACTAATTTAAATGTTGCTCCTTCTGCCAAAAGATAAATAATATAAAATATCATCTGTTTCTCAAATTCTATACGCATTTTGCTGTATTTTCAGCAGTGACACATATTTTTTAATAGATAAAGTTGCAGATATGATCCATGGCAATGACTGTTAGCAGGGGTGGCAGGCCTGGAAGAATATAGTTAAGATATTAATAGGATATTGTAGTCACTGGGGAGAAGGAGCCTTTTTAAACAAATATGGATTTTATACATTTATACATTTATACAAAAAATAAAGGTGTACCTTAAAGATGTGAGACTCACTCTTATGCGTATTTACTCATAACACCGACAGAGTTCAGCTGAACTTATTCTGAGGTGTGTGTGTAAGATTACAATCTAATTTATTGTAAAAAAAAAACTTACAAAGGCATCCTGATGACATTGGCTGTGACTCATACATGCTTCTGTTGTAGTACCCTCATCTTTAAGGTTTCTCAGAATTTTTCCTGCAACATGTCAGAACAGCTGCTTGCATTCTGGAATGAGCCTGCATATCTTGTTGAAATACGCTGATGCAGTATTTGTCCAGCTAGTTCATCAGTGTGCTTGCTCATCCAGTTGAAAAATTCAAATAATTTGTGGACTCAGTTGCTGTAAATAATTCTCTAAATTAATTCAAATTAAAACTTTGAAACCTTATATGCATTATTATACTATTTTTTTTAAATAGTATGAATACTTTACAGGTAGCCCTCACTTAGCAACTCCCTCATTCAGCTACTGTCCCCAGTTACAACAGTGATGAAAAAGTAACTTTATGACCAATCCTCGCATTTACAACCTTTGCAGGAAAGCTGAAGTAAGATCATAAGCACAGTTGCGTTTTTCACTTAGCAACTGCTTCACGTAATGACCTAGTTACCGTCACTAACTTTAATGGCTTTCAGGGACAGGATAGAACCAGTGGAAACCATGAATCAGTAAAGTAACACAATAATAAAATTACATAGGTATGGTCATTAAGGTATGGTCTTTAAGACAAAAGTTTGGAAGAAGTGAGAGATAGCTCTTTGGTATTTGGTATTTGGGAAAACCTAGGTTGAAAGAACCAGCTTTTCCCCATGCCAGAAGAAGAATGGCCCTGGAACACGGTGCTCGGGAACCAGAGGGAAGGGGCATGCTCACAGTAGCCTCAAAGGGCCAATAGGATCTGGGCAGAACCCAGAATCTGATGGAGTCATCACCAGCATCAATATAGGGCATTGTTTCTCAAGCTTGGCAACTTAAAGATGTGGAGATTCTGAGAGTTGAAGTCTCCACATCTTTAAGTTGCCAAGCTTGAGAAACAATGCCCTATATTGATGCTGGTGATGACTCCATCAGATTCTGGGTTCTGCTCAGATCCTATTGGCCCTTTGAGGCTACTGTGAGCATGCCCCTTCCCTCTGGTTCCCGAGCACCGTGTTCCAGGGCCATTCTTCTTCTGGCATGGGGAAAAGCTGGTTCT